GGGTTGAAGAGAGCGTCGTGGGCGGGGTTGGGTCGGCGGCAAGCTGACGTCACTAGGGGCCAACGAGACGCGTCGCTTCATGTGGCTCTTGAGGTTACAGTCGGCCATCAGTTCTGCACTAGTAGCAGGCTTTGGGCTCCACCTGTTGAACAGGGTTGCATGGTGGGGGCGCTCCGAGTCTGGCGCAGACACACAAGCAGAGTGCTCCAGCCGTGTCCCCATTTGTAAAAATACTTGGTTGCTGTCCTCGGAAACAAACAGCCCCTTCAAGGAGATTACTCCTTCAGTTTTCACCCTGGCTGACATGATCATCACCCCCATCGCTCCCATCCCCCCTGCGGGCCCCGTCGGCCCAATCACACCTCCCCCGCAGTACCCCTCCTGCACCGACATCCAGAACCGCTGCGTGTCGATGCTGGCAGACCTCTTCAACTCACCTGCATGCGGCACGCGCGCCACAGGCACCGCCAGCATCGGTGAGGCCCCCCTGGGGTCGCTGGCAGGCCCCAGCTGCCGCTGCTGCCGTTCTGCCAGAGGGCACTCAGGCAGCCACGCCACTGCTCTGAGGCGCCCATCGCAGCTGCCATAGGCGCCGATAGATCGCCATCCCAAATCAGTTGCTTGCTCCGAGCAGCAATCGCATGTTGTCCTCCAACTCGCCCCTGAAGAAGCAGTGTAAACAGAAGATGCTCAATAAAGCCCCCGCATACCCCCCACCCCACCCCAGGCAGCAGCGAGGCCATCATGCTGGCGGGCCTGGCCCTGAAGAAGAGGTGGATGGCCAAGCGCAAGGCCGCGGGGCTGCCCTATGACAAGCCAAACCTCATCATGAGCTCCACAACACAGGTTGACGGCGGCGCGACATCCCTTTTGATGGGCAGCACGCGGGCGGCTGGATCCTGCACGGGGTGCAAGCGGAACTGTCGCAGTTGGGGGTTCATATGCAAGGGACGGGGCAGGCGTAGCGGTGGCATCGGCGGCGCAAGCATAAGCCAAGCCACGTCACCGGCCTAGGGCCGCGGGTGTGAGCGTCAGCGTCTGGCTAACTTCTCCAGGGACGCTGCGCTGAAATCTGTGTCACAAGGAAGTTGGAAGGCTGGTGAAGCCCATGTGCTGCCATCCGTCGTCCCCCCCCCCTAAAGGTGTGCTGGCACAAGTTCACCCGCTATTGGGACGTTGAGGAGAGGTGAGACAGCACACACTCGCCACACACAGTTTGCCCCCCGACACCGCAGAATCTCCCATGCACCCGCTTGCATGACCCCGCTGGCGCGTCCAGAGCCGCAAGGAGCTAAACCGCCGCCATCCACAAGCGAGCCGTGCTGCGATGCTGCTCAGCGCGCACACCTGCAAGGGCAGGCCGACGCTGTGTGTGCCCTCGCAGCGCCCGTCAAGAGTTCCTCACCGGCGCGCGAATACACACTCACACACACACACACACACACACACACACACACATACGCACGCACGCACGCACACGCACGCACACACACGCACGCACACACACATCATGCGCCCCCCCAGGCTTGTCCCCGTGGAGGAGGGGCGCTACTGCATCACCGCTGACCTGGCAAAGGAGCTGATCGACGACGTGAGTAAGGGGGAGGGCTGGAATTAGGATTAGGATGAGGGTTATGACTGGATCATGGTTGGAATCAGGATTGTTGCAAAGGAGCTGATCGACGGCGTGAGGGGTCGGGAGGTCGAGAAATGGGTCGCAGGGGCGGTCTGGGATACTCCTTATTCGGAGCGGGCAGCATGCTTTGGCTGGTGGGGCCCCAGGGTCCAGCAACAGGCCACCCAGAGCTTCAGTGAGGGGTCCGGGAGGGTGGGGGTTGTGGTGAGGGCAGCTGCAAGGCGCATAGCTCACGCAAGTTCCGCGTGGCATCGAGCCTCATCTATTCCTGGTGATGTCGCAACAACACCTGGCCGGCCCTGGTCCCTCAGTCTCGCCTCCCTCTCAACCCGAAACCCAACGCCGCCTGCTCCCTCGTTTGTTTGGCATGAGCAGTGCACCATTGGCGTGGTCGGCATCCTGGTGAGCCCAGGGCGTGAATTCACATGCATTGAATCTGGAGTGCCTCACAATACTGCTGGAGTCGGCCCCCAGGGATGGATGTCGGTGCACTGCTGCCCAGCAGATGCCAGGGCTTGCCAATATAGCACCCAAACTGCCGGTTTCCATCTGCCTTGTTCCGTCTTTTACGCCCTACCACACACCCTGCATTCTCTTCACAGCAGCACCGCAAACCGTGCCCAAAGGCTTGATTCCAACATATGGCACACTCGACCAACTCTCCACCCCCCAGGGCAGCACCTACAATGGGGAGTTTGAGGACATCGCGGCGCTGGATGCCATGGTCGGTGAGAAGCCGTGGGAAAGCCGGTGGGAAGCCAGGGGGAAGCCGCGAGCAACCTCACTTGACTTTCTCGTGGTGACAAAAACGCGGGATGAAAATCAGGTTATCCTGTCTTCGTTTCCTCTGACATGTGGCATTGAGCTGGAGCATCCAGCACGTTTGGGGCTCACATCTAGATGCTGGACAGACACACACACACACACACACACACACACACACACACACACACACACACACACACTCACACGCGCGGGCGTGCCTGCATTTATCCCGCCTCCCCCCCAGAGGAGGTGCGCCTGGAGCGCGGCCTGGAGGTGCCGATCCACGTGGACGCGGCCAGCGGCGGCTTCATCGCGCCCTTCCTCTACCCGGACCTGGCCTGGGACTTCCGCCTCAAAAACGTAAAGTCCATCAACGTGTCGGGG